CAACTAGATTGAAGAACAAAACGACAGCAACTTGTCTGTTCCCCTTTCCCCAATTCCCCAGCACTGTTCCCATCCCCCCAATTCCCCAATAAAAAAAAATCTTTAAAAAAAAAAAAAAAGCTAGAGCAATTATAAACTTAAGCATAAATATTATAACATGTTTCTACATTTTAAATTTTACTTAGATTTTTAGCATGCTAGTTAGACCACTAATAAATGCTAACAAGAAAATAAGCATTAAGTGCCTATTCTGTAAAATCCTTTTTTAAGCTAGCATGCACCACTCCTTATAATAGATATTTAAGAATTTGGAAGTAAAGCCCGAGAGTATTAATGCTTATTTTTATTAGTCAACAGCTAAAATACAGATGTACCTTGGTATATAAAGCTTGAAGTTCTCCTCTCCACTCAGCTTTAAATACTTGGTGTACTTAAATGTTTTTGACAACTTAACAAAATTAATATGTACATTAATATGTGAAATTAAATAAAAGTAATGTAAGTATTAATGTGAAAGTAATTTACATGTATATCTAAAAATGTCTGCTCTTAAAAGAATAGATATTTATGACAGTTTTATGTGAAATTTTGAAACTTCGTTAAAAGATGTTTTCCTTAATATTTATTTTTTATTCTATTTCATGAATATGAAATTTCCTCCTAAATATTTATACTTCCAGTGTTACCTCCCTCAATAACTGAAAATAAATGCTACAGAGAGCAGCTGTCACATATCAAATGTCATAGCTATCGCATTTGGTTACTTCTCTTGGTTTTCTAGTTCATTATCTTAAAAATGCTGGAAATAGTTTTAAGGGAGAAGATAATGATAATACTTTTTTAAAGGTAGATTAAGTAAACTTATTCAAGACACAGTGACTTTTTTGGGGGGAGGGGTATAAAACAAATATAATATGGCATTGAAATCCACAGAAATCATACACTTTATTGCATAGATGAGGTGGGGCTAGGAAAATCAGCAGAAAACAGAAGCCAGGCAGGCAGGGCCATGTAAGCTGAGCTGTCTGAAGGGC